AGTCGAAGAAGCCTGGGAGAGCATTCTATATGGTCTAGTAATCAGAAATTTCGTATTGTTATTTATGTCCAGGTTTCGAAAATATATTCTATTACCGTCGTTGATAATAACGAAAAATATCATTCGTATATTATTATTTCAAGATCCAGAATGGTCAGAAGATTTTGGGGATTGGCAAAAAGAAACCCATATTAACTGCACCTATCGGGGCACTCCAGTATATAACAACGCATTGCCATACAACTGGCTCGACGCCGGTCTTCAGATAAGGGTCTTATTCCCTTTTGTTCTGAAAGCTTGGCACGAGAAACCTAAGGTACTATCTACTGAAAAAAAACAATACAGTGAAAAAATATCCGCTGGAGATGAAAAAAGAATCTCTGCAACCCACTTATGGTTTTTAACAGCTTTTGGAACAGTACTCGAATCGTACCCTCAGGTGCATGTACCAAACCCATTTGCATTTTTGGGTCCCATTTTAAAACAAATAACAAAAAAATTGAAAAAAGATTTGAAAAAATGTTTGAAAAAATGGGAGAATGAAAACCAAAGCGAGTTCACCACCAACTGTAGCAGCACCATCTGCTAAAATTTGTCCCTTTTTTACGCATTTACCTTTCTGAACCTGGGATTTTTGATGCATGCAAGTATTTTTGTTGGAACGTTTATATATAATTAATGGAATACTTAGAGCATTCCCACTTCCAAATAAAATAATCTTATCAGTATCATTATAAACGATCTTTCCCTCGTGTTCGGCTATAGCGGGAACTCCCGAATCTAAGGCCACGTGGCGTTCCAATCCAGTTCCAACAATGCACTTTTCGGACCGAGAAAGAGGAACTGCTTGACGTTGCATATTAGAACTCATTAAAGCTCTATTCGCATCATTATGCTCGATAAAAGGAATGAGGGAAGCTCCAATAGAAAAATATTGGAACGGGGAAATACTTCGAAGATGAACCTGTTCCCATGCAATAGTCAGAAATTCTTGACGGTATCGAGCTGGAACAATCTGCTCCTCCTGAATACCTCGAGTCAGTGCTAAAAAATTTCCCGTCGCTACCATATAGTATTCATCTCTACGTGGTGATAAATAAAGCATTCGTATTCTTTTTGATCTCTCAGAAATTTCATAAAATGGACTTTCTATAGACCCCCAACGACCAATCCTTGCGTGAATTGCCAAGGATCCAATAAGTCCGACATTGATTCCTTCAGAGGTGTCAATAGGACAAATGCGTCCATAGTTACTAGGATGGATATCCCGTATCCGAAAACTAGCAGTTCGCGCCGTCAATCCTCCAGGACCCAAAGAACTCCATTTCCTTCCATGAACTATTTGGCTCAATGGATTGGTTTGATCGAAAACTTGAGATAATGGATGTAATCCAAAAAAAGATTCATAAGTGGTTGTTAATGGCGTTGAAGTCACTAAATTCTCAGTAGTCGGGATCAATTTATCTCTAATTGCTCTACACATCTTTTCTCTAATTATATTTTCTAAACGAACGAGAGCCAATCCAAATTGATCTTGTAAGAGATCTGCTACGGAACGAATACGTTTATTTTTCAAATGATTCATATTGTCAAGTGTACCCATTCCAAATTTCATTCCAATCAAATGATCCGCAGCTGTCAATATATCTCGCGGTAACAAAAATGTATTGTTCTCCGGTATATCCATATTCAGCCTTCGGTTCATATTTCGCCGACCAATTCCTCCTAATTCACATTTTTGTTTAAAAAATTTTTTTTGTAATTCCGTATATAAAGATTCAGAAAATATGGGATCTCCGCCTACACAAACAAATTGTCGATAAAACTCCAAAATGGCATTTTCTTTTGACCCTATGTTTTCTTCCTCCTCTTCAGTGAGGCAAGACAAGAAAATTTCGGGGTAACAAACGTTCGCAAGAATTTCGCTTAAATTCGAACCCATAGCTGATGATAGAACTAGAATAGATATTTTCTGTTTCCTACTTACACGAGCCCATATCCTTGCTTTTCTATCCATTTTTAACTCTAATCTTCCTCCCCAATCTGATATTATTGTGGCAGTATAGACTGAAATTCCGTTATGGTCCAATTTTGACCGATAATAGATACCGGGGCTTTGCAATATTTGATTGACTACAATTCTGTATATTCCATTTACTATAAAAGTTCCCAGGGAATTCATTAGAGGAATGTTTCCAATAAAAATAATTTGTTCTTGGATATCCAGACTGTTTTTCCAAATTAATCCCGAGGATATATATAATTTAGAGGAATATGTAAGTAATTCATATACAGCATCTTTTTCTTTTATTGAGGGTTCGACCAATTGATATGTTTCCGCAAATAACTGAAATTCCATTTCTTGATCTGGATCTTCAATTTTTGGAAACTTTAAAAGTTCTTCTGTTAAGCCCCGATCAATGAATCTACAAAAGCCTTCAAATTGTATTTGATTCAATCCGGGTAGTGTAGACATTCCTTCATTCCCAACCCCAAACATTTTTTATTCCCCCCCTTTTTTTATAGAAAATAGCCCATTATTTGCTGTCATTCTTCATCGAATCACATGAATAGAATAGATTTAGCAATAATGGAATTTCTGTTCTTTTTACTTTACTGAATCACATGAAATTTTACCGAACTACGTCTATGAAATACCGATTATGAAAAGAGGAAATTGGATACTCCAATTAGAATTTGCAACAAAACAAACAAATAGAATTGAACTTGTAATATCAATGGAAACAAATTGATCCATTTCACCTAGACTTCGGGTCGGGGTATTTTTAACAATCTAAAAAAAATGAATTCTATTTGTACTATTAGTATAGTATGATATTCCGTATTCCCATTCGATTGATATCCCAAAAATAAATTCAGGATTTGCTCGGCTCCATGAGAGAAAGATATCAAAAATAAAATAATCAGAAAAAAAAAATACCATTTTTTTTAGCCCTTTACCATTTAAAGTGTTCAAAAAAGAATAAGAATTCACAAAGAAGAGAGATATTTTGACCCTTTATTTTAGAATTGGAGGTTTGCAGTGCATAAAAAGACTTGGCATAGATCTAACTTCAACTATAGCTATCTATATATGTCTCTTACGTTATTGCAGGCCTATTTGTTCGAGACAGCATATGTTGTGTTAATTTTTCTATTCATTCATCAATCTATTTAATGAAAAATTGGCAAAATAATGAAAGTACGAGAATTTTTTGAAAATTCCCTGTAATCTAGAATTGATACCCGATTAGATAATGTGTAACAATGAAAATGGATATTCTGGAGTTGACATATATTAACAGTTCTTCTTATAATGGAAATAGAGAAGGATTCTAAAAAATCAAGATTCCTGAATTCTTCCGGAATTTGTAATTAATGGTTGCTTGCTATTTGTCCCGAAATTTTTACTTTTCTTTTGTGACTGAAAAGGTATACGTTGGTTTTTTGGAGAGGAGGGATATTCTGATCCATTTTTTTTTATCAGGTTTTTTGGCGGCATGGCCGAGTGGTAAGGCAGGGGACTGCAAATCCTTTTTCCCCAGTTCAAATCCGGGTGTCGCCTGATCGACAAGATAATGTATTCCGTTTTGTTCATACAAAAACTTTGTCTTTTTTCCATGTGGAAGCAAGGGAAAGCGTTCTTGTCTTGAGACTTGTTTGATTCAAAATTCTACGCATTAAAATGCTTTCAATCTTTGCGTCTCGGATTCCATGAAAAATGAATTCGAGTAGTGAAATAAAAAAGCCTCGAAGGTTCCATCGTTGAAAATCCTAGGAGGTGTTCGGAAATGGTTTGAAGTAGTTGAATAGGAGGATTACTATGACTATAGCTCTTGGTAAATTTACCAAAGATCAAAATGATTTATTTGATATTATGGATGACTGGTTACGGAGGGACCGTTTTGTTTTTGTGGGTTGGTCCGGTCTATTGCTCTTTCCTTGCGCCTATTTTGCCGTGGGGGGTTGGTTCACAGGTACCACCTTTGTAACTTCATGGTATACTCATGGATTGGCAAGTTCCTATTTGGAAGGTTGTAACTTCTTAACTGCAGCAGTCTCTACTCCTGCTAATAGTTTAGCACACTCTTTGTTGTTACTGTGGGGTCCTGAAGCACAGGGAGATTTGACCCGTTGGTGTCAATTAGGTGGTCTGTGGACTTTTGTTGCTCTTCACGGTGCTTTCGGATTAATAGGTTTTATGTTACGTCAATTTGAACTTGCTCGATCTGTTCAATTGCGGCCTTATAATGCAATCGCATTCTCCGGTCCAATTGCTGTTTTTGTTTCTATATTCCTGATTTATCCACTGGGCCAGTCTGGTTGGTTCTTTGCGCCTAGTTTTGGTGTAGCAGCTATATTTCGATTCATTCTCTTTTTCCAAGGGTTTCATAATTGGACATTAAACCCATTTCATATGATGGGAGTTGCTGGTGTATTGGGCGCTGCCCTACTATGCGCTATTCATGGCGCTACCGTAGAAAATACCTTATTTGAAGATGGTGATGGCGCAAATACATTCCGTGCTTTTAACCCAACCCAAGCAGAAGAAACTTATTCAATGGTTACTGCTAACCGCTTTTGGTCCCAAATCTTTGGGGTTGCTTTTTCCAATAAACGTTGGTTACATTTCTTTATGTTATTTGTACCAGTAACTGGTTTATGGATGAGTGCTCTTGGAGTAGTCGGTCTGGCCCTGAACCTACGTGCCTATGACTTTGTTTCTCAAGAAATCCGCGCAGCGGAAGATCCTGAATTTGAGACTTTCTACACCAAAAATATTCTCTTAAACGAAGGTATTCGTGCGTGGATGGCGGCTCAAGATCAGCCTCATGAAAACCTTATATTCCCTGAGGAGGTTCTACCACGTGGAAACGCTCTTTAATGGAACTTTACCTTTAACTGGTCGTGACCAAGAAACGACTGGTTTTGCTTGGTGGGCCGGGAATGCCCGACTTATCAATTTATCCGGTAAACTACTGGGGGCCCATGTAGCCCATGCCGGATTAATAGTATTCTGGGCCGGAGCAATGAACCTATTTGAAGTTGCTCATTTCGTACCCGAGAAGCCCATGTATGAACAAGGCTTAATTTTACTTCCCCATCTAGCTACTCTAGGTTGGGGGGTAGGTCCTGGAGGGGAAGTTATCGACACCTTTCCATACTTTGTATCTGGAGTACTTCACTTAATTTCCTCTGCAGTATTGGGCTTTGGCGGTATTTATCATGCACTTCTGGGACCTGAGACTCTTGAAGAATCTTTTCCATTCTTTGGTTATGTATGGAAAGATAGAAATAAAATGACTACTATTTTAGGTATTCACTTAATTTTGTTAGGTATAGGGGCTTTTCTTCTAATATTGAAGGCTTTTTATTTTGGGGGTATATATGATACCTGGGCTCCAGGAGGGGGAGATGTAAGAAAAATTACCAACTTAACCCTTAGTCCAAGCATTATATTTGGTTATTTACTAAAATCGCCTTTTGGGGGAGAAGGTTGGATTGTTAGTGTGGACGATTTGGAAGATATAATTGGGGGACATGTATGGTTGGGTTCCATTTGTATACTTGGTGGAATCTGGCATATCTTAACCAAACCCTTTGCATGGGCTCGGCGTGCACTAGTATGGTCTGGGGAAGCTTACTTATCTTATAGTTTAGGTGCTTTAGCCGTTTTTGGTTTTATAGCTTGTTGCTTTGTCTGGTTTAATAATACTGCCTCCTGCCAAAATAAGAGACGTTTGTGCAGGAGGCAGTATATTTTCGCCTCCTGCCAAAATAAGAGACGTCTGGTTTAATAATTACCAAGCGTGAGGAAATGCTAGACGTTTGGTAATTCCGCCTCCTGCCAAAATAAGAGATGCCATTGAAGCGGCTAATCCCATGCATATTGTATGTACTTGTGCTTCTACAACTTGCATAGTATCAAAAATGGCCATTCCAGACATAACCTCTCCGCCGGGAGAATTTATAAACAGATACAAATCTTTGTTCTTGTTCTCTAAACTGAGATATATCATCATACCAGCAACTTGATTTGCTAGTTCACTCTCAATCTCGTCACCTAAAAAAAGAAGTCTGCTGTAAAAAAGTTGATGGTATAAGTCAACCCAAGTAGCTTCATCCTCGCCAGGAATTTGAAAGGCTACCTTTGGAACACCCACTGGCATAAAAAAATGATGCAGTTGCCTGACATCAGCATATTACTTTAATATAAAATTGTGCAGAGTACAGAATGAGTTTATTTTGTTAAAAATAATTTTTATTTCGCCAGATAACATAAAAAAAAAAACAAGCCTAAAATAAGGGCAAGTTTTTATGAATAGGTCATTCTTGGATATGTGTCTACTGATATTGATATTATTGTTACGTGTTACTGGACGACTAATGAATTGAATTCTGGAAAATGAAATTCAAGAAGGGATTCTAACAAAAAGGATCTTCGACAACCCCCAAAAAGTATATTTCTATGTTTCCTATCGAATTGAATTCTAGAAATATTATTATTTCCTTCATGAATTATATTATTAGAAATCAATTCATGCTATTCACCACATTTTCATTGATCCTCCATTTATAGTCCGAAGCTAAGAAAGAATCAATGTAAAGAACCCCTATCTTATATTATAGTCTTAAACTTTGAGGAATTTTCGATTCAGTACATCGAAACAACCAGAAAAAAAGAAAACAACATACGAATAGTTCCGTGATTTTGGCTAAGTGATTGTTGAATTTTTCCCTTGGAATGAATAGAAAAAAATGGATTGATTCGATCCGATTTATTATCCCCAATCAATCCTAAACCAGATGGGTCATTTCTTTTTCTGATATATGAAGTATTCGATTTTACTAAGTCAATTCTTAGAAAATACTCAATCAAACCATTTGTACTTACTTCAATAAAGGAAGCGGGGGCCTCCTCAATCGAAGAACTTTTTTTGCCGTCATCCCAATGGAAGACTAAACAAGTCCGAAGGAATGGAATCCTTGTGTCGGAAATTTCCCGAATGGATTTTCCAATAGAATTGACAACTTTTAGTTCCAGATTATCCTTTTCCTGGAATAGATCTTGGGGAAAAAGTTTTACAAAAGGGATAGTGTCCGGTATTTCATATAAAATTACAGGTCGAACCAAAACAAATTTTTTTTTTCTTTTTTTTTTTTTAGTTGCGATCCATTGGACATAGATCCCATCTTTAATTTTTTTTGATTCCTTGCCTTTTTTTTTTTGTAGTTGCGATCCGTTGGACATAGATCCCATCTTTATTTTTTTTTGATTCCTTGCATTTTTTTTTTTTACCGTTCCGGGTGGTATAAAGATGGGACTGTGTCTTGATATCTTATCAATCTCTCTGGGAAAATGGATATTTCCAGAAAATATTTTTAATTCTATTTTTTTTTTTTCTTTTCTAATCGGACCAATCCGCCTACTCGACTTCTTATATTGAAAGTGATTGGTGTTCCTCTTCCAACAAGACTATTATTCCGTACCATTAGGGA